GTCACAAGCTGGCAGAGGGGAGATTTAGGTTAGACATCAGGAGGTGCTATTTTACGGTCAGGGCGGCTAGGATCTGGAACCAACTTCCAAGAGAAGTGGTGCTGGCTCCTACCCTGGGGGTTTTTAAGAGGAGGCTGGATGAACACCTTGCCGGGGTCATTTGACCCCAGTACTCTTTCCTGCCATGGCACGGGGTCGGACTTGGTGATCTGCTCAGGTCCCTTCTGACCCAACCAACTATGAAACTATGAAACAATGTTATAAATGGGGGACTGGCTCCTGAACCAAGGCCCGATACCCTATTTTCACCAAAAATACCCCAGAATTTTGTACTCGATCAATTATAGATGAGTAATATAGCTATATTAATGCATTTATACTGTAAATAGCAATCATATTGATTTGGAAGGACTTCTTTGAGGTGACTTTGCTGGACTTATTGAAGGGCTCTTGGCTGGAGACTTCTCAGGAGTCCTGGCTGCAGGTTTTTCTGGAGTCCTGTCTGCTTTCTTAAAGAAAGTGTCCGAGGAAGTTTGGACAGACGTTCTCCAGGGAGATGGGCGACACAGCGAACTTGTTCCCTGGCATGGCATCGTGTCAGATCAAGTGTTGTAAAGTCAAAACTGACGACAGAAAGTTGAAATAGTATCAATTTATAAACACTGTAAGTGCCAAACGGTGTAACTTGAACCGGTGTAAGTCGAGGACTGCCTGTACTGCGTAGTAAGCGTCTCGTGTAGATGCGCCCAGAGAGGAAGGAAGATTAGGAACCAAGCCCAGATTAGAGTCCAGTGCTTGGTCAGGTGTTTATTGGGGTCAGGGGCATCCCTGGTTGTAACTCTGCTGTCTGAAAGGGGCCTGGTCAACTTTAAATCTAACCAGCTTCAAAAAATGTCTGACCCTGCTCCTAGCGTGTGCATGTGTCCACAGTCGCAGTTTCCTATCTCTCCCCTTTCTTTTTCACCAAACAAGAGAGGGCAGGAAGCCCCAGGAAGAACTGGCTAGATGCAAACTACTGTTACATGCATAAAATACACTCAAAATGAGGCTTTTTCTCTCCCCGCCCTTACTAGAAAACTTCAGTGTCACCTGTAACAGGTAAATCGCTTTTAGAGAAATGGTCCCTTTTTTTAAAGGTTAGTATCCTTTAATTGGAATTATACCCAGGAATAAATTTGGCTTCAGAAGTTAAAAGCCTTTCCGTTTGCATAAAGTCAGTGCATAGAGACAGACGGGGAAAACAGGAAAGACTTTTACCTGTGGATAATTGAGCCAGTAAAATACCGAATTCTGAAAAGTGGGCGAGTCAGAGAGAAGAGTAACGCACTAATATTTACCAAAGGTGCGGACTGCGCCATGCTTCAAAGAGTGGAGGGGGCTCGAGTACCGTACAGAGCAAGCGTAAATATGTTTAATTTTTGGGTTGTGGCTGTCGCTGTCTAAATTTGGTTGGAGACAAGGAAGAGGCAATGTAGTGTCCTTATTTAATCCCTGACGGGTCTATCAGACTGTCCTGCAACCTGCCTGAAATCTGGAAAGCACGCCCTGCTCTTGCGGCCTTTCAGGTAGAGTGGATCAAATATTCCCTATCAAAATATTTGTCCGTTGAATTACTTTTGGACAAAAAAAACAACTTTTTATTTTTTTGAGAAGTGTCTTTCTCCTGGAGGAAACCTCCTTATGCTGGAAACCAAAATACGTTGGTCAAGCCCAGGGAGCAGTTCCAAGTGGTGCTGCGGCGCCTCGGAGCAGAGGACGTGTGGGATTCTGCCACAGCGTTTGCAGGGGCCGTGGGGAGTGGGGACGTATCTCGCTGAGTCCACTCCCTGCCATTTCTCAGGGTCGTGGGATGTGGTGACACATTGGTCTTTCTGGACTCCCTGTAGCACGTGGCAGTTTAGTCGCACAAAGAATAAAATGCATTAGCTTAACCCCCGCTACTGGGCTTAGCATGGGTAAAGTCTGTCTCGCAGGGCGTTATGAGATTGGGTTGGAGGATCTAATGGTCCTTTAAGCCTGTGAAGCTGGTTGTGGGTGCTTTCCCCTTCCAGTGGCATTTGTGGACTGGACGCCGAGGTGGGACCACAGCTGCACCACTTGCTCTGCCCTTGGTGAGGAGAGGAGAGCGTCACTGGAGTCCCTTGCTGTGGGACGTCACGAAACGACTGCTGCCACGGGGCATCGGTGCCATTTTGAATCGAGGCATTTTGGTGTTTTGTTTTGTCAAAATTCCCTGTGGGAGAAATGAAACGGTGTTTCTGGGCTGCTCTCCTGATGGGTAGCGACAGCTGGGCTTGGATCAATGCTCCCCTGGGCATCGCCTATTCCCAAACTCTGAGGATGCTGGAGTCCAGACCAAGCGATGCCTTCTGGCTTCGACTCATCTCTAGGAGCCCTGAGGATCTGATGTGCGGGACTCGCCGGCGCCTGTCGGCTTGGACCCTGAGAGCTTTGGGGTTGAGAACAGTTTGATGCCTTTGAATGCTGGACTCGGTTCTGTGCTGGGCGCCGTCCCCTTTCCTCGCTCGCCCAGACCTGCCCCTAAGGTGCTGTGCTTAGCCATTGAAGTGGGGCTTTGCCCCAAACAGCCAGGGCACGAGGAGGATCCAGACTTGGGCATGAAGGTCTTTACAGGGGCTGGGTGGCTGCACTGTGGGCGACTCCTCTTCAGTGGGACATGGGTGTCGGATGCCCTGAGTCTCCCCAAATCCCCCCTTTCTTCCCCCGTCTACTCTAGCTCAGCAGAGAGCTGCTTTATTCCCCTGCTAGGGGAATTTTCTTCTGCCCCAAGACTTGAGCAGGGGCAGAGCGGTGTCAGGGGTGTCCCCTGCCCTGCCCTGCCCTGAGAAGAGGAAACGAGAGGCTGCACCTGGGCAGGGATTGTGTATGTTGTGGGAGGGGGAACAGCACATCCAAGCTGTTCAGCACCTGGTCCCTAGTGAGAGACTCATCCCTTCACTGTCCTGCCAGGCTGCTGTGCTGCATTGCGGTCCGGACAGAGCAGGACCCCAGCACATCATGGAGCATGGGACGGAGGTGCGCAACCCCACGGAGGTGCAGATGAGCCAGATGGTACTGCCCTGCCACACCAACCACTGTGGCCAGCTTGGTGTTGGGCAGCTGCTCAAGTGGATCGACACCGCAGCCTGCCTGTCTGGTAAGCCGGGCCAGGGGGAGAGGGCGAGGTGGGGTGTGAACATAGGCGACATGTAGGGAGGGCATGGTGGGGGGGCATGTGCCCCCCCTGAGAGTGCTGGTGCCCTGGTTGTGCCCCGCTGGTGCCCCCCTAGACTCAGGAGACACCAGTCGCCCATGGGCTTTGAACCATAGCACCAGGGCTGGGATCACTGTGGGCCTTGGCTGCTGCTTTCCTGGGCTCTGCAGCCGCTGGCAAAAGCATCTGGCAAAAGTGAGTACCCTGCATCCCAGGTTTCGTGATGCACCCTGATGCCCTGGGGTGGGTTGGTGCAGAGGTGGAGCAGATGCATGCTGGAGAGGGGCTATGTGTCTGCTCCCTTATTCTGGTTTTCCTGCACCCAGGGTTACCCTTTGCTCTGTGCAAACCAGCTCCGCTGCTGCTTAGGGGGTTGGTGCTGTGACAGCACCTCCCGTGAGGGGGCCTTGTGCCTGCTCAGCTGACTGCAAGGCATGTCTGCACCCTGAGATACTTCAGTACTGTCTGTCCAGTGCCATGGGGCAGCCCCGTGCTATCCTTCCCTTTGCCGTGTGGGTCCCTAAACTGCAAGATATTTCTCTGTCATTCTCCTCCTCCTTCCTGCCTATCTAATTCAAGTCAGCTCAGCCCTCTCTGCAATGAACCCAGGGTGTGACAGAGAAGGCACCGCTGAGAAGAGACATCCTTAACGATACTCATGAAAGGCTAGTCCTTGTTAATTCTTCAATGGATAAAACTCCTATAGCAGGGAGAGCTTCACCTGCGGAGGGAATCTGCAGACAGCGCTTGCAGAAACGAGCTGTCAGATTCATCCCTGCTATTAGAAAGCTCCAGTCCATCTCCGGGCTCATACGGAGGCTTGCCCTACAGCATGTCTTGCAGTACACGGTATAATCCAGCTCTAAACATTGCCGAGCTCTTGTGGAGGTCTCCGCGTAGGCGTTTCTGCTCTGTGTGGTTTTGATGGCATGTGGGGTAGCAGTTCCCAGGAAGAACTGATCTCGGCTCCCTCTTTGCTCCCATCACTTAAATTTTTATGGGTCCTTTGTAAGCAGCCTACTCCACAAGTGCACTCCATGTGTGGAGGAAACTGTTCCTTAATTATTTAGAGATGTTGTCTGACATGTCTCTGTTTTTGTTTCCCAACATCTTGCACGCTTTAACAAATCCTAGCGTCTCCCGGCACCTGAGAAGCAGGGAAGCGGCCATCCCTGTTTGCAAAGGGAGGTGAGGCACAGGAGAAAGGAAGCAGCTTGCCCATGGTTGTAGACACACAGGGTCAGTGGCAGCTGGAGAACTTGGGTCTGGCAACCATTTAAGCTATGCTACAAGATTGCAGGTTACTCTCTTTGGAAGAATCTCTCCATTGTCTACAAAATGAAGCCCCCTCCCCCAAATCCCCCCCTGTTATAGCAGGGTCAATGATCCCAGAAAGCAGCAGAGCCGAGAACTGGTGTTTACTACCCGAGGGGAGAGGTTTTGCATCCTCATAATAAAAAGTTCTTATAAAAAGCCAAATGAGATAGAGAAGGGACTGTGGTTGCAAGTGGCGGGGGGAGGGAGAGGCTATCTTAAAGGATGACCTTTTCTATACCAGATTTCAAAAGTTTTCCTGAGACAGCTGTGCCCTTTCAAGTGAATACCTAGCAAATGAATAGCACCTGGGTGTAATGATCAGGCTGGGACTAGGGTGGAATAGCTAATCAAAGACAGCCCAGCACTTAGCAGCAAGTGTTAGGGCTCTGGTGTAGCGCTGTAGCACACCGGGCAGGGGGACACTTTAATTTGCTGCATTGTCACTCTGTATTGGAGTGGAAGTCCTTGTGCTGCAGGTATTGATGGTTTGGGAGGTGGGTCTATGGAAAGGATCTGTCCTACAAAGTGCTCCCCATCATGGAAAAAATTGAATACTGCCTGCCATAGAAAACTAGTAGGATCCAAGTGAAGTCACTGCCACCTTATGCTGATGAGAGGTAGCTGTGGTAGGTCAGGCGGTTGCTATTTGTCTGCAGGGTCCAGCTGTCCTAGCACAGTGTTCACGCGGCCCTTGCAGCGGCTGTGTCAGCACTCTTCTTTCAATCCTCTTTTTCGGGCTTGGTCCGTTGTGTGCAACGCCGTTCCTAGCGAAAACCTGGCGCTGGGGGGTCTGCCCATAGTCACGCTTCATCAAATGAAGCATTCAGTCTACAAAGCGCTGCTTTGATTTTTAAATAGCTTTTTGGGTGATAAGCAGCATCGTGCAACGGGCTTTCCCATTTGTGAGATCACGCTTCGAAAAAACTGGAGCTCCCAGAACCTGTAATACTGGGAGATCTTCTTGCCACAGGAAACAGCTGTGCAATTTCCAACGTGCATAGCAAAGGCATCGCCAAAAAGGCCGTGACAGTGGTGCAGGGGGCAAACACACATTCTAGTGACAGATGAAAGTGTAGAGAAATGAGGACACCCTTCGAGGACACTTTTTAAATAGCTAACATAAATGGTATCACTCTTTCCCTGTACCAATGTTCATTTCTGACGGGGGAGGGAGGGGAACGTAACACCGATGTCTGCTCCTTTAATTTTGATCCTGTTCAAGTGAACTGGGTGCACATTATGTGACCGGAGAGATCAGACTGCTAGGCTGTGTGCTGGGTGATGTTAGACGCCCGCAGTCTTTGGCTGAGGAAAGAAGGAACAAGCATCTTCTCCGAGTAACCCGTGGTGCCCCTCCACACAGAGGGAGCAGTGTCCTGGCCGTGGTGAGTCAATAGGATCGAGCACTAAACAGAGCCCAGTGCAGAGACCCAGGCTACTCGTGCCCAGCCAGGACCTGCCGAGACACAAGCCGCCCAGTTGTCTGGTGCATTGCTGTAGGCACTGACGCGGTTTGTTTTTCCTTTCTAGCCGAGAGACACGCTGGCTGCCCCTGCGTCACAGCTTCCGTGGACGATATCTATTTTGAGCACATGATTAGGTAAATGCCTTACTTCCCTCTCTGGCTGTTTTGCTAGTTTGGGGGGGTGGGTGTGGGGGGGATCTTTTCTGCTTTGCACACAGCAAATATTAAAGACCTGGAGTCCGGGTGCTGCAAATTCATCCCTTCTGCTCTACAGAGATGAAACCTCATCCCAGTCCAGCGCACGAGAGCAAGGGAGGAGCAGGGCCACAGAGGCTCAAACCTGAACATGTGCAGAAGACCTTGTAACCCACCCAACAATTAGGGGCCACGTTCCTTCTGAGACCTGCCGATGGACAACTCTCTGTGGTTTATGTCCTAGTGCCACTTCCCTTATTTTCCTGCTTTTCCCTCATAATCCATCTCCTCCCTCTTTTTTTTTAATTTTTTCAAGGAATCCGTTCCAGTTCCTGGTCCAAAAAAATCAGTCTTATAAATGACACAGCTGTAGCGTTTCTTATTCACGGGTCTCCAACCTCTTTGCGGCTCTTAACTTTACCCAGCACCTTCCCTAGGGATGGGGAGTAAGCCTACCCAGGGATTATCGCTTCAGCCGCAACTGAGATGCAGCCACCTCTGGGAAGGAATACAACAGCTGTCTTGCGTACAGAAGTTTAATGTTATAGCTTACATGAAGTTGTGAAAAATGCCTTTTTTTTCTCAAATGCTTGCCTCCATAAGTCATGTTGAGTGGAATGGTGAACTTCCATTTTTTTTTCTTTCTCCTTTTGTAATCCTAATGGCCTGTGCCTAATGTATCCTACCGGGCAGAGCCGGTAGCCCTCTTATGCCGTTCTGTGCAGCGCTGAGCATGCAACACAGGGGCTGGTTAAGATGATGGTGGGAAGTCGGTGCTCCTTTTTCAGGGGTTCGCTAAACCACTTCCAATGAAGTTTCTGGATATTGGGTGTGAGCAATTGGAGGTGCTTCTTCCCTGTGAATGTTGGTAGCTCTGAGTTTTTAGTGCTCTCTGATTTAAAGGTTGGTTTTGGGGTGAGGTGGTTAAGCCAGCCTTGGCGATAAGTAGATTCTAGGTATAGAGAAGACTTTCCATATTGGATGCTTTCTCTGTGCCTGCCAAACCGAACTCACAGTGTCCTAGAGTTCACCATATAGCTTCTGTCTCCGTTCCAGAGCATGCTTCACAGCTATTATCACCATTGTTGTAAGAAAAGACAGCTGAATGCGGCATGGGCCTTTAGACACCCAGGTGCACAGAACTATTAAGTATTGCAGATGGTTAGTAGTTTGTTGAGGATACTTCTATAAACCAGGCTCAGTGCACGCCTGCTCCTGAAGGCACCAAGCACGTGCAGCAGCTTTATACGTTCTGGGCAGTCCAGCCTACTAGGGAAAACCTGGTGCTAATTAATGGTAATGAATGAATTAGCTGATGGAAAGGCTTGATAGGCAAAGTGGTGCAGGCAGCAGAGGTGACCTGAAACTTGACCTTGGTCTTGACTTAGTTGGAGGCTCAGTTTGTTTTAGCAATGAAGCTATTGCCTCTGTACCTCTGATCCCAGGCCGAGCCTCAACCAAGAATTCATAGGAGAGGTTATACTTATGTTTCCCACTCAAGTTGAACTAGAAAGTACAGCACCAGGAACTGTGGTCATCTGTTTTCATCAGCTGCTTAGGTCAATTATGTAGCCTTGAGATCTTTGGAAGAATACCCTCCACCTATGTAGGTGTCTAAAGACATCATTGAAATCTTTGGGCATCTCATTACAAGCCGGCAGTTGCTGAAACAGGTTATTCTGTGGCAAAATCTAATCAAGCAGCAATGAGCTATATCAAACCACTCCGCTATGCCCAAGAGATTCAGAAGGGAGTACCACTCCTGTCCTGATGAGACTTTAGACCAAAGGCTTTCCCAGTGTCACTATTGAATTGCTCCTACGGGCCTGTCTACATTAGGAAAGTCTCTGCTGCAGAAGCGAGGTTGGCAGAGCCCCCTGAACATGCAGGATACACCAGCATCAGGCCACCACTTCCCAGAACAGCACAGCTGACGAGTAGGAGGGCTGGGGTGGTCTGTAGCGTAACTTGGGGTAGGCAAGCAGGGACCAACGTAGTAGGTGCAACAGACTTGTTTGTGCCCCCACCCCACAAGTGTCCATGGCAGAAGCAGCTCCATAGTGAAGCTTTTGCAGCAGCTGGGTGCAGGGACACCACGTTGCTGCTGGAGGAGTGACAGCCAGAGCGGGCAGACCATGTCATGGACACACATGTGCACACGTCTGTCTCTTTTTCTTTTTCTTTTTCTTTTTCTTTTCTTTTTCCCTACGCTCCTAGCTGGGAAGCTGTGGGCCAGCGCTCTGCAGCGCGCACCTGGCCGGGGTTACAGAGGGAACATTAACACTTGCACACTTTTGCAGCTATGCCAGTAAGTAAAATGTAGACAAATGATGTCTAGACAGCTCAGGGAATAGGAGTGGCTGTGGGGCCGTGTCCCTCCCTGGGGACAGGGCTTTCTCTCTGTCCTAGGCAGACAGAGACAAAAGTTACTCCTTTGACAGCTGGTCGGTGGCCTGCGTGAAAAGAATTGGGGAGTGCAGTTCGTTACCTAGGTTATCCTTGTTCTGGTCACAGCAGAGAAACCAAGGATTAGCGAGATGAGAAACAAAGGCCCTGCTACTCCCAGAGACACGCGCTGCCTCTGCTCAGGCTGCTAGCTCTTAAGTAGATAAATGGGAGACATCTGTCTTGAGAGCTATCGTTTTGACACCTCTCACCGGTCCTATGCTCACATTAAGCCCTGAGCAAAAACACAAATTGAATCCGTGATTGTAACTAGCGGGATTTTAAAAAAATTGAGTTATTAAAGGCTTGCGAGAGATTTTGAAAGATGAGGGTTGGGGGTTTTTTTTGGAATCTTCTGCTAATCTTTTGCTAATTGTGTTAATGAACCTCTATTTATTTGATAGGCTAGAGGGATAAAAGGGCGGGTGATCAAGTTAAAATACTTTTATTGCAATGATTCTGTGTTTTCTCTGTGCTGCGCAGGCTCCGACATAATCGTTTTAAGGTCGGCTGTTTCTGTAGGTCCCTTTGCTGTGTAGATGGCTAGTAAATAGGACGCAGTAGGAAAGTGCAGCCCTGCTGGGATACGGTAGTTTGGGGCTTGTCGACTGGGGGATACTTGGGACATTTAAAGATGAACCAGGTATTGGGGTGGGGATTGTGGTCGTAAGTTAAAGCACATTCAGCTCGGGGGTGGAGGTTCGCACTAAGGAAAGAAGCGGGCCTGGATCGGTGCAATCTAGTTGTGCTCAGCAGGGTGAGCACAAGTGCATTCCTGTGGATGTTACACTGTTAGTGCAAGCACAAGCAACTTAATGTACAGTGAAAGCTTGTGGGGATTTACTGACTACCCATTCTTACCCTGGGGTAACTGGAAGGTAACCAACCCATGATAGTTGAGCCCTCAATGAAAGGGGATACGTTCCTGTGGGTTAAGATTTCATTTACTATGGGGCAAAAATATGAGGAGCACCTGCAAAGGCCAGCAGCTCTAGTTGGGAATGAATTTGGGGGCTGTCTTGTTGCCCAGAAGGATGATACTTCGATATCTAGGGTAGCAAGTGCGGGAACATGAGATTTGCTCCTTGCCTTGACGGGGTAGATTGGAAATGAGCCCTTTCTGGAAGAGCACTTCATTTTCTGGAGGCATTTGCAGTAGCGAGGGAAGGAGATGTTCCCTCACAGGGCCGCTGAAGTTAATCCTCGCTTGTTCCTCCATTCAGACGTGAGCAAGGTGGAAAAGCACAGGCTGGGACAGTGTCGCTGGGTTGCTGGGCAGATGTCTTCAATTCATGCTCTACCCATCCATGGAAAACCTTTTGAGATCTTTAATGACCTTAATGCTTGATGCAAACAAGGGTTGATCACAATTAAAACGTGCAACAGAAGCAAATCTGCTCAGGTAGAAACTTTTGACTGAAAACTACGCTCCCTAAAAAGGCCCAGCCAGTTGCCTTATTAGACGCTTCCTTCATCCTGTTTCTTTAAGCTGGGAAGAATGAGGTGCTGCTGCTTTTGGCAGGCCAATGGGAGACCATCAGTTCACCCACCCTATAGTTTCGGTTGCGATGGCGTGCTCTCTGACTTCATATTCCTTTCCTTAGTCTGTGTGTACGACCCCCCGAGTCAAGAGAGGTGAGCAGTTGCTTTCCAGGATGATGGGTCACAAGTGTCACGTGTATCTGTCTGATTCACCGATGTGATGTACTCATTTACAGTTGGGTCAACTGTGGCAGTACTTGACAAAATCCCACCCAAAGTTTGGCTCATGCCTCTGGAGCTATAGTATGATGCCTTAACTGCTCTGCCACTATGCTCCAGCAATAGATTTTTTTTCATAGCCCGATAAAGTAAGCAGTTGGACTGAACAGGAAAGCTTAACATT